ACTAAACTGAGGTTTGGAGAGTGGATTTACTGTAATAACCTGATTTAAACCCAAAGAAGGAATTTCGCATAGCCATGACTTTGAAATGAGTGTCATTTCCCTGCTGGCAAAAGATAAAAAAGGTATGAAGATTCAGATGTCCATGCGTACGTACGCGTGCACACACAAACACACAGACGTCTAAAAATTATTAATTTTTCCAAAATAAAAACCATGAGTTTACCCTCCTCTCTGGTAGAAAAGGCGACTGAAAATAGTAAGGATACTGATTACAGCATTTTTATGTCAGGGCTGGGCAAAACACAATCCTTCACTCCTCATAGAATCATAGAATTGAGTTGGAAGAGGCCTATAAAGCCATTGAGCCGAGCTGACAGACGTGATGGGATTTGTAGTCCCCTTAATATATAGCAGAGTGCACAATGGCAGAGACTTAACTTGAATAAAGTTAAAGTTAATTTATTTTACAAAAGCATGACTCACATTGACGCTGTTCCACGTCCTCCATACAGCGCACATTACCATAGTCTCTCCAGATTGAAAGATGCCTAATCAAAATTTTAAAAAAAATCAAGATTCACATTTAATTCATGTGATTTAAACATCAATAGTCCAAAAGATGTAACAATTTTTCATTGCTTATTATTTGCTTTTAAATTAGTTGCTTGCAGCCTCTGTCAGGGCTCATCTGTTTTCTCTCACCCGTGAGGAAATAAATATCCATGCCGACTTCCCTCAATTCACCTGGCAGTATATTTTCATTCTGTTGCTTCTTTCTGCAGCTCCTTCATCTTCTGCAGCTTCCTTCCTTCTTCCTCCCTCTTGCTGGTCTGCTTCTTCTGCTGCTGCTGCTCATGCGTTCACTCACACAACCAAGAGAGATATACGCTTTGGTGCTGCAGCCACCTTTATACTGATCTTACTTGGAGGCATTCAGCGTTTCTCAAGTTTAATCAACTCATCAGTCTCACCTGCCTGTCTTTCCCTTTGGTAACTTTACTGAGTAGAAATGATCGAGAACAGATCTAATTTTTCTTCATACTCCCTCTTGGCTGTGTCATTTGTTCCCACATACAGTAGATGAGAATAAAGGGCTATGCATCCATGGATTTTTATGAGCGATGGCAGTCCTTCCATCACGTCCCTAATCTGTCCTCCAGGGAGAAAGTATACCTGGTGGGTCTATGGATCTTCTTGACATGTTTCCATTACTATCCCACGTAGCAGGGAGTCTTCAAGTATAACTAAAAGGTAATAAAGGTAAAGGTTCCCCTTGGCATTTTTAGTCCAGTCGTGTCCGACTCTGGGGGGCGGTGCTCATCCCATTTTCAAGCCGTGGAGCCAGCGCTTGTCCGAAGACAGTTTCCGTGGCCACGTGGCCAGCGTGACTAGGGAATGCCGTTTTACCTTCCCACCGAGGTGGTGCCTATTTATCTACTCACATTTCCATGCTTTCGAAATGCTAGGTTGGCGAGGAGCTGGGACAAAGCAACGGGAGCTCACTCCGTCGTGTGGATTCGATCTTACAACTGCTGGTCTTCTGACCCTGCAGCACAGGCTTCTGCGGTTTAGCCCACAGCGCCACCACGTCCTTTTTGTACGGTGTGGGTTGAATAAGGCGATCTTGAATCTTGATTCTCTCTTCAGGTAGTAGCTTCTCGTTTGTCTCCCAGGTCTGATGTCATAAACTGAGCTGATTACCTATTATCCTATCCCCAATCATGTCAATACAGTGGTGCCTCGCATAGCGAGGTTAATCCGTTCCGGATTAACCTTCGCTATGCGAAAACATTGCTAAACGGGAATAAAAAAGCCATAGAAACGCATTGAACTTCGTTCAATGTGTTCCTATGGCTTTAAAACTCACCGTTAAGCGATGTTCCTCCATAGCGCCGCCATTTTCGCGCCCTCGGTAAGCGAGGGCAGGGCGCGAAAATGCGGCGCGGACCTTCCGGCGGCCATTTTGGAACCGCCAATCAGCTGTTCTCCCCCGCTTCGTTCTGCGAAAATCGCTAAGCGAATTGCTTAGCGATCATCGCAAAGCGAAAAAACGCTATAGGGGCCATTGCTGAGCGAACGCTCCAGCGATGGCCCAGACCCCCTCGCTATGCGAATTCATCGCATAGCGAAGCACTCGCTAAGCGAGGCACCACTGTATTTCCAACTGTCTCATTCCCTTTCATTTAAACGTATTCCTAGTCTTCATTTAGTTTTAAATCCGACCACTTGAGCTCATTGCTATGATCTTGAATCTTGATTCTCTCTTCAGGTATTAGCTTCTCCTGTTTGTCTCCCTGGTCTGATGTCATGAACTGAGCTGATTACCTATCCCAAATCATGTCAATATTTCTAAGAACCAACTGTCTCATTCCCTTTCATATAAACATATTCCTAGTCTTCATTTAGTTTTAAATCTGACCACTTGAACTCATTGCTACTCAGGAAGATCTGTTGGCTCCCCCCGCTTAAGGTTTCTGACAAGAGTTCAACATTCTAGCATGCAATACCTAGCAGATCACCTCTGAAAGATGGAAACACGCTCATGCTGTTTTTATTTTTAGTATCTGTTGATAAGATACTTATGTAAGATTGTAATGGAAGGGAAAACTCAACAAAAACACTCAATGTACACCATTAAAGAACTGCAGTTTCATTTCAGCAGCAGGCTTCCATTTTGGAAAGACGGACCATTATAGCTTTAAATAAACCACAAGCTGACCTTATATAGTGTCTCTACAAGGACAAGGTTTTGGTATGAAAAGCTCATGTCCTGGCACAAAGGAAAAGGGGGCAGAATGAACAAAAATGTAGTCTTACAAAATGAAAGACCATCATATATTTCATTTTTTCATGCTGTATATTTTTGCTTGTTAAACTCAACTGTAAGTGCATTGTATGTTGGATTTTTCGGCTGCCACAATTTGAGCAGCGGAGGGAATGGGTTGGCTCCCATTCTCCTAACTCTCTGGCAAAATTAACCTCTCAAGCCGTCAGTCCCTCCCTGAGCCTTCAGTTGGTTGGTTACCCAGAATCAAGCATTGCATGCGGTCATAATCTTGTTTTAGAAATCCACCGTGAAGAACACTTCTAAGGCTCACCACACCTAAATATCAAAGTTTACATGTTTTAGTCTCATACAAGCAACACACTCTAGGAATGGGTAATTCTTTGGAACACAAGAGATATGTAGAAAAAGAGGGAGGGTGAAACCTCAGTTTTAATTTACAACAGGAACAAGAGTAAATTCTAGCAGCAGATATGTCTCAGATCAACTAATATCTAATGCACATTCAGAAATCAGAAAATACTGTCATTAAAATTTTGAGCTGGTGTCTTCCTTCATGCCTCCACTCAACAACAAAATGATGAAAAAAGTAAAATTGCAGAATGAAATGTTCCTTTTTTTGACTAATATAGAGAAGTTATAGCTCCTCCCTCATTTTTCTGCATGAGAAAAACAGGAGCGCATTTGATGGACCTCTGACCAATTTATTATTGCTTTTCCCACCTATGTATCCACAGTGTGTCTGAGAATACCATAGGAAAATTCCACGGTCCTAGTTTTCACATACTGAACCCCAACAAACTCTACACGGTTGTGACGGCATCGGACTGAGACTCAGGACATTTGGCTTGTGTTCCCCACGGATCCATGAAACTCTTCAGGTGACATTAAACAAACTGCTCCATCAGCCTGGTGTACTGTACCTCATCGAGTTACTGTGAGGAGAAAGTGAGAAAGCACAGCTATGCCACCTTGAGCTCACTAAAAGAAAGACAGGATATGAAGGTAACTAATTAAACCAAGCCACAAACTTTCAGAGTAAGCAAACCTATAGGTTCAACATAGACTACGTTTTCATTTAACACATAGGGATGTGCTTTCCTGGACCTTGAATGGCAATACCTGCTCTGGTGCCCCCAAAATATTCTTGCAAAATGGAGAGGAGTAAACTTTTTTTTGGTAAAGAAAATTCTTGCTCCCTCTCGTGGCCATAGGGAGCAATTTTGCTTCCGCCCCCCCACCAGTTCCTGAGTTGTTCTCACTGGCTGCAAGTATTCAAAAAAAGGCTCTGCTTCACAGAAAACAAGCTCAGAGGCAAAACTGACTCCCCCTCCCCCACCCCAAAAAAATAAGCAAAGGGTGTTTTACAGCACACAAATGTTATTTGCTTTTTCAAAAATTCAGGGGAGGCTCGGGGCTGGGGTCTCGCTTTGCTCAGCTCAGATTTAGCAGAACGCCTAATAGAAAAGACGGCAAGATCCGCTGTGGCACAACCCATCCTATAAAGATAGGCAGGAGTGTTTAACAGCAACCACCAGCCAGAATTATGGAGGGCCAATGGACAGTCTTGGAGCAGTGACACAGAGAACATGTAACGTGCCCTCCTTCCCCCCCCTTTTAAAAATTCTTGCATCTCGGGGTCCAAGTGGGTCTATCACTGTGGGAACTCCTTGATTTGTCCAGCAGCAAGTTCAGTGTTCCTTCTGGCTACGCCATGGCTTTGTTAAGGAGATCCGACTCAATTAGTTCTTGCTCTGCATACTGTTAAATAAGCCCCATGTATGCAATGGCTGTGTTTCTACAAGGACGAAGTTTTGCTGCTTGTGAAGTCAGCTTTGAACTGGTGCAGTGAATGCAAAGAAGGTTTATGGGCTTGGGAGGGAGGTGGAGGACAGCCTGTCTCTGGATAGTTATTTATGCACAGAGCAGCTGCAATGCATGCATGCAGAAGAAGAATGACCGACAGCAGTGAAAACTGCTGACATGGTTTGTTCAAGCCCTCTCCTTCTCTGAAGACTCATGCCAGCGCAATGTGCAAAGGGCTAAATACAGAATATATCCCAGAACGTAAAGTGCACAGTACTCTCAAAATCTGCACATCTGAACAAATTAAGATCGGCAATCTCAGCTCTGTAGGGTTAAAGGAAAAAGCAGCTTTAATCCAGACTGGAAAACCCATCAAGAATGGTGACAAATGACTCGACTAACGCAGAACTGGGACACTTCTATATTTATTTCAGCTAACAAAATTTTCCAACATGATCACACAAAACGGTCAGCAGTAACACAATGCAACCTTGGATGCGAAAGGTCCTGCTGAAGTAAACTATGTCTAGATAAAGATGACATCATATTAAAACATTGCATCCATTTACAACCGGTGAAATAATCTGATACTTTTAATATTTAAAAAAAATCATTTCTACAAAAAATAATTTAAAATGTGGTTAAGCCAGGGGCTCACTTTTTACTATTCTATGGAGATTCAAAATGAACAAGAGATGATATTCCCACAATTAGTAGATTAAAAGGTGGGATGAAAACATGACTGTCCATTGTCTCATTTCTTCAAACAAAGGGCACACACTTTATTTAAAACTTCAGATCATCTCTGCATGTAAGTGGCAAATTCAAAGATATATAAAAAACAGTAAATGTCAACAAGGCAGTAATCAGATGCCAGGAATATGTGAACCTTACACATTCAAACCAGCTCAGCAATTTGACCACAATCCAACTTCCACTTTGTCTCCTGACTACTAATTTTGCCCATTTTGACAGCTTCCGCCGCAACAGGTCCCTACAAAACCAATATAAAGCAGACTTCATGAGAAATGGGAGACGATACTCATAAAATATATTCAGTAATAATTCAGGAAGCAGTTCTAATATGAAGAAGTTATTCAGCAACACACACACCCTCAATTTTTTCATTTAAAATGTTTAGGAGCATGGTGGAAAATCCTAACTGACATATTCTTGTGGCTAAGGTTTTCTACGTAAAGCTTTTGCTTTAGGCTGAAGGGGGCTGTATGATCAAGCTACAACTTCAAGTCTGTAAGAAATCAGTGTATATGACTAGTTGAAACCATTTCTTTAGATGGTCAAATGCTTACAAACAATTTTTGATAATGTTACTCTACCAGAAGCAGACAAAAGAGGTATCTTAGAAAAGCAAGGAAGGCTGCCATAAAAGAACAACCTTAATTTCTATCAAAATATCCATTCCATTCAAGAAAGCTTTTCTATTGATATGGCTAACTTACACAGGGATTTTAAAAATGCATCATTCTTGGATAAGCATGTTGTGTTGGACATAATGCAGCTTTGGCATCCTGTATCACATATACATGCCCCTCTATAGGCAGGAGCCTCCGTTCTGTGGTGTGGTCCCCCAGATAGGAGTGTGCTAATCAACATCTAAATATGCACGAAGGATACCCGAGAAACCATTCAAATGTCCCAAGAGCAGTTTTAGAGAAACCTGTGATTTTACCAGCTTTTCACTGAATGCCATGTATTTCCACAGGAATCCCAGAACTGTACTGTGTTATATCAGATTATTTTGCCGTTCTCAGCAAATACTTCATGGAAGAGGTTTGAGCACCAGCAGATAAGTAGAAAACTTTATGAAAAACGTAACATGAGATCAGTACAATATTCAGCATTGAAACAAAGTTGAATCTTGCCCTTGGAGACATTAAGCAAAATCAGAATTGGTGATGAAAAAAGTAATAGGAATATTTGGAATGGTCAGTGTGCTTTCTTGAAAGGCTGTAAAGTGCTCAAAAATTCTTTGACCTGCAAAGACAAAAAGATACAAATATCAGTTGAATAAATGGTAGATAAGGTGGGAGGGAACCTGGTTGCTGAACATCATGTGCTAAGAATCTTCTCCATAAGAACATAACTGAAAAAACCACACTCGATATATTTTGGGTTATGTGCTGCTCACATGGGCAGAGCTCTAGAAATACAGTCAACCATAAATGAATTTTGATGGTAACTATTGGAAGAAGCTTGCAATGTTGAACTTATTCAGGCAAGAAGATCTATCCTGGAAGGTCTATGGATCCTAGTGGCTCTTTTGGAGTTTTCGGTCATCTTACAAGCAATTCTTCAAAAGCCCTAGTTGATCTTTGGGATGAGGAAATGACCAATGCAGAGGACATAATCGATCCTAAGCATCACTTCCCACATTGTGTAAGCATGAATGCCTCTTGACTAATTGTAAAGATGATCTCTCTCTAAACCCTATAAATTAAGCATTTGGGAGCAACTTTACCTTTTCAATCATATTTTCCTGCTTGTCTTTGCTGCCTTTGAAGTCTTCGTTCACATCTAGTGTTAGAATCGGTATCTCTTGCAAATATTCAAAATCCGTTCTGTAAAGAAAACTAGACATTTGAACTGGGAAACCAGACACAAGGTATTTATTTCTGAAATAAAGCGTTATTTTAAGACATGGAGCACCAATCCTATAAATTTTGACTCAGAAGTGAAGTCTCACAGGGTGCAGATATCCAAATATTTGCACCGTGCAGAGCTACCTTTGCATAGAATTCTCTTAAGCCATATTAGTTAGGGTCATCAATATTTACAAAATTCTTTTCAAATCAGATTTCATATTTATAAAGAAATGGCACGTATTTACTACTATTCAGCTCTTAAATGCTTAGTCTATCAATGAAAAGGAGTCCAATACTGAGAAATGCACATGCCAAAACTTGGCCCTGTGGAAATTAAAATCACCTGGCATATAAAAAAAAAGTGGAAGTCTGATGAACTAATGCCATCTGCACAGTGGAGAGAAGCCTGCAAATTTCCTTAAGGGATTTGTACTTTATCAGAAACTTAACGAGAACCCTGGAAAGCACATTTGCTAGAAACAGAGAATTACCGTAATGTTTTGTGCTGAAGCCAGCTTTCATGTTTGTAATGAAGTTTTTCCAGATACTCGATAGGAATGGATTGTTCTTCATCCCTTCCACGCACATAAACCCTATTCAAGCATTTCTGAGAATAAGAAAACGAGGCTGAAGTACGGTTTTCAGAAATTAAACAAACAGCAGAGTTGCAATGAATCTTATAAGAAAGGCCAGGAGAGATTGTGCCAGAAAACCTTCACAAGATCATTGTTGCTCTTTAAAAGTGAGCCTTTTTAAAATCTTTTCTTCAAACAGCATGAAATACAAAACAAAACAAAAATTGAACACTGCAGAGGCTAACAAAACATACAAAAATTGATGGTGCAACAATTGCATTAGGGTCATAGGACTCTCTGCTACCCTACGCTTGTAATTCTACATCCTCTTACCTGGATGTTGGTCCCACTGAGCTCAAAGCATCTAACATCTGAGTAAACAAAGGCTTTTGCTTTGGTTTTGTTTTTTTTAATGTTCTCATACTATTTCACTTCTTTATGGCACTAGCAGTGTACCACCAGAATATCAGTTTTACATTCATTCAGTCACATGTCCTAGCAGGCAATGTTAGATCTTCCATTCATTGACTTTTTTGGTGGGAGGCCTACAATTTCAGTATCAAAGATCTTAAGCTTCCAAATGACAGAAAGGGGGTTCCAGGCACAGTTACTAAACTGTAACTACACGTTGCTTCCTCATTTTTGGGTGGCAGTGGAGGTCCCTCCCCCTTGAATCATTAGCTGAGGAAGACCAGTAGTACGACTGAAGTCCTGCCCCCTTGGCTTTTCCAAATCTCTTATCACTGATCTGGTACAGAATGGATTGTTCCAACATTGAATCACCTCACCCAACCCAGAGCAGCCATACTAAGTGGCAACAGGATAGATATCTTAAGGTTTGTGTTTAGTTAAAGGTAAAGGTTCCCCTTGACATTTAGTCCAGTCATGTCCGACTCTAAGGGGTGGTGTTCATCCACGTTTCAAAGCCGTAGAGCCAGCGTTTGTCCAAAGACAGTTTCTGTGGTCATGTGGCCAGCGCGAGAAGACACGGAACGGCATTAGCTTCCCACCGAGGTGGTACCTATTCATCTACTCACATTTACATGTTTTCGAACCGCTAGGTTGGCGGGAGCTGGGACAAGCAACGGGAGCTCACTCTGTCATGTGGATTCGATCTTATGATGGCTGGTCTGCTGACCTTGCAGCACAGAGGATTCTGTGGTTTAACCCACAGCACCACCACATCGATCAAGGTTTGTGTGTACTAAACTGATAAAAAGGTTCAGCAAAGATTTTTTTAAAGCTGGCCCTTTGCAGAAAACATGATAGGCAGTCTTCTGCTACATTGAATCGGTATCTCTTGCAAATATTCAGGGTTGAAACTCACTCTTTATCATGGGCTTGAAAGACTTGATTATCACATGTAGGACAGATGATTTCCCAAGATTGACAAGTTTCATTTTGAGGTATTCACCTCCATCAAAAAAATGAAACAAAGACTTTCTTCTGCAGCCCTCAGGGCAACCACACAAATCACAAAGTAATCCTTATCACATAAATGCAGAGAGGCACATGCAGAAGAGATGGTACATCCCTAAGTGCCCCTAACACAGGGAGCTGTCCTTCTTTCCAGGACACAGACGTGCAAGGAGATTAGACATGTTAATCCTGGATAAACAGGTGACCAAGAAGCAGACTGCTCAGAGATTCTGTTTCCTTGCTGATTACAAATAACTTACAAATCAGCATACACGCCTTTTAAAATTTTAAAAAGCCCATAACACTTTAATTCAAATCTTTATTATAGACTATCTGTATTCTAACATAGAATTAAACTGCTGGAGTCTAGAATTTAAGGTGAGATCTAATCTGCTCCCCCTCTCCCCTCCCACAAGACTGTCTAGTAGCCAAAAGTCAGAGTGATGAAGGAGTTAGCGTCAAACAGTCGTGCCACGGACCTGGAAGGGTGTGAATGAAATCCCACCTTTACCAAAAAGTTCCCAGCCATCAAATTGACTCTATTGCAACCTATCGGACCATCCTATCCGATGGGATTGTTGTGAAAATAAGGTGGAATAATTTGATGTGGTGAGACAGAAGGCGAGAGGGATGGCCCATGCACTGGAGAGCTGTCCCTCCCCCACAACAATAAGGAGGAGGGTCCCCAGCAAGCACCAGGACCTGCGGCAGAAGCTCAGCAAGGGGCAGAAATAGGGCAGTTGATGGAGAACTTGCAGGATGTGACCATGAGAGAGGTCCAGGAGGAAAAGGCGGGAAAAGAGAGGAAAAAGAGGGTGGAGGTTGAGGCAGGAACAGGAGAGGTAAAAAGGAAGGAGAGTCAGTTGCTGCCAGGCTGGGAATGGGTGTGCATGGAGGATGTCTGGACAGGACGATGGGAGAGGCTGAGAGAGCCTAAAGTGGTGGCAGATTACAGAACAAGAAGGGAGATTCCTCCCAGACCCTCTTATTGAGGGCGCTGCCTGGGGACCGTACTGCAATGGATGCAGGAGAACGGGCTTAGGCTGAACCCGGACAAGACGGAGATACTAAGGGTGGGCACCCCCACAGTTGGGGGCTTGGGAAACTCCCTCTCCTTCGGGGGGTGACCCTCCCCGCCAAGGATGGGGTCCGCAGCCTGGGGATCCATCTGGACCCGGCGCTCACCATGGAATCCCAGGTGGCGTCGGTGGTCCGAACTGCCTTTTACCATCTTAGGCGGATAGCCCAGCTGTGGCCCTATCTCGAGATTGGGGCGCTCACTACCTTGGTGCATGCACTCATAATCTCAAGATTGGACCACTGTAATGTGCTCTACGTGGGGCTGCCTTTGAGGCTGCTGTGGAAACTACAGGTGGTGCAGAATGCGGCGGCCAGACTTCTTAGTGGTGTGAAAAAATACCAACACATTTCACCCACTCTGGCCACATTGCATTGGCTGCCCAT